CGGGTCGCGGCTCGGTTGGGTGGCGCGGCTCGGTTCAGGGCGCGCGGCTCGGCTCGGGGCGCGCGGCTCGGGTCGCGCGGCTCGGGTCACAGCGGGGACGGGCCGCTCGCTCTCCCTCGTGTGCTGCGGCGGGAACGGGCCGCCCGGGGCCTCTAGGTGGTGGGCACGGGTCGGCGAGGTCGGCACGGGGCCGGTTGGGGCCCTAGAGGGGCGAGCGCGGGGCCGATCGGGGCCTGAGCGGGGCTAGCGCGGGGCCAAACGGGGCCTTGACGGGGCTAGCAAGGGGCCGACGGGGCCTGAACGGGGCTAGCGCGGGGCCGACGGGGCCTGAAACGGGGCCGACGGGGCCTGAAACGGGGCTAGCGCGGGCCCGATCGGGGCCTGAATGGGGCTAGCGCGGGGCCGACGGGGCCTGAGAGGGGCTAGCGCGGGGCCGACGGGGCCTGAAACGGGGCTAGCGCGGGCCGACGGGGCCTGAGAGGGGCTAGCGCGGGGCCGACGGGGCCTGAAACGGGGCCAACGGGGCCTGAAACGGGGCTAGCGCGGGCCGACGGGGCGTGAGAGGGGCTAGCGCGGGGCCGACGGGGCCTGAAACGGGGCCGACGGGGCCTGAATCGGGGCTAGCGCGGGCCGACGGGGCCTGAGAGGGGCTAGCGCGGGGTCGACGGGGCCTGAAACGGGGCCGACGGGGCCTAACGGGGCTAGCGCGGGGCCTGAACGGGGCCTTAAAGGGGCCGACGGGGCCTGAACGGGGCCGCTAGGGAGAGCGGGCGTGGGGCCGACGGGGCCTGAATGGGGCTAGCGCGGGGCCGTCAAGAGGGGCCTCTAGGGGCGTGACACGCCGAGGCGCCCTAGGGCACAGGTAGGTAGGTAGGTAGGTAGTTACGTAGTGGTGGGCCCTTAGAAAATTTCGGTCCTAGGAAGGACCTGCTCTATACTATGTTGGAATCACTGAACACGAATGGATGAACTAGCGGTGAAAATGAGTACAAGTACCTAACCCTAGAATTGTGTACTCCCTATAGGCTAACCCACTGTAGCCTAAACTAACACAACATATATAATGTTTGACACGGAGAGGAGGCGGCGGGGCCGCGAACGGTGTGTCCATTACATGATAATACAGGAATTTGAGAGCCAACCAGATCACTGGCTCTATACCTCGTGGCATAGGCTCCTTGAAGCACCTCAAATTCTTGTACGCTTCGCAGCATGCCCCACAGGAAGCCAAGATTAATGCATGCTAGAGTGGGACATTACATGCCCCACTATCTATCTCCCCAATCTCGAAACTCTTGGATGTTACGCTGGGCATGAGGAGCATGAGCATGGGCCGGGCCACGCGCTGGTCTGATCTGTATCATAGGGAAATGGTCGTGTAAGCCTTTATAAAAATACTGGTTGTGCTTTACATATACCTGCCAAAAGTATGTCAGTAAGCCTGTATTATAGGGATCTTTCTTATGCACCTTGTACAAAAGCATGCTGGTGCTCTCACATCTATACTCGTGCACTCTTGTTTCTCATATTTCTTCCCTTCTCAAGATCATTGGCTGCCATGTAATCCTCTTACCCTAACACTACCCGAACCCCCTTCCCCACCCCTACCATGAACGACCAACCACCCTTGCACGAAGCAGGGACCTGTCTTACAACCCCATTTCAGGGAGTTTACCGTCAACCATGGGATCCTTAAAATCACTCATGATGATGTGAGCATGTCAATGGCATGATGTTGTTCCCATGGCCTATATTTCACCACCAACACCATCAAAACCATCACCACCAACACCATCAACACCATCACCACCAACACCATCAGCACCATCACCACCAACACCATCCCACGCACAAGTAGATTCCACCGCTCTGTGTTCGCCCGTTCCTCTTCCATGCCTTCTTGTTGCAGCAACATCAGCTTTTCACAACTCCCATTAGCTCTACCCCTTCTCTCACACTTTCCAACCTAGTTGTGTTCGCCTGGTTCAACAATTCCTTCTTCCATACCCTTTCTCTGCTGCAGCAACATCAGGTTTGCAAATCTCAACGGCTCTCTGCCTCCCACCCTTGCGCAGCTCCAAGCGCTTCAGAGCATGTAAGGCTAGACTTGAGCAACGGGTCGACCCAACTGACCCTGAACTGATCTGCTTGACCCGAGCCGGGTAACGGAACGGGTCAGGTCAGGTTGACCTGTAGTCGAGTCGGGTTGACCTGTAGTCGGGTTGGCTGTGGCCCGAGCTTATAGGGGTATGGTTGGCTGTGGCCCGAGCTTATAGGGGTAGGGTTGGCTGTGACCCAAGCTTATAGGGGTATAGTTAGCTGTGGCCCGATCTTACAGGGGTCGCGTTGGCTGTGACCCGAGGCCGGGGCGAATTGACCTGACCCAACTCTATTTCTACTGACCAAGTGACCCAACGCCATTTCGATTTCGCTTCACACCGAACCAACAAAGATTTGACAGGGAACCCATGGGACTAGTCCTCCATATGTTCCTCTCTGTATTCTTTTTCCTTCCTCTTCCTGCATCACCTTGGCCAACAACCAGCTCTCTTTTGATTTGACTCAAAATTCTCCTTCCTCTTCCTTCCTCTTCTTGCAGCACCTTGTCCAACAATCCGCTCTCCAGCTCATTCCCCACCTTCCTCGCCAACCTCTCAGCTCTTACCATGATGTAAGCATGATGGAAGCTCCTAATTTCTCCTATTAGTAGGAGGCTCCCACTGTCTCATGTAACCACCTAATAGCCGTTTCCCTTTTGTTTTCCCCTCATGTTTCCTCTCCTACTCTCCTTCTTTTCTTCTCTCCCACTGTCCTCTAATGCATCCTATCCCTCCTTTTCTCTCTGATCTCCTTCAGCGATCTCTCTGCCAACAGAATCAACGGCTATCTGCCCTCTTCACTCGGAAGCTTCTCCAAGCTCTTTAGGATGTACGCATGCGTTGCTGTTGGAACTTCTAGATGTCTCAAAAATCCTATCGGCTGACTGCTATACGTATGGGCTTTCTCGCCAAGACTTGCTGTTTCTGTTTGCCTTTTCTGCGTTTCAAATTGTGCCATCTATATGAACGACGAAATCCTGGGTTTCATTCTCGTTGCAATTTTGCACAAGTGCAGCGAGCTGAACAACAACAGCATCAGTGGAAGCATCCCAGGGTCCATCGGCCTTCTAACTGCCTTGGGAACCCTGTAAGCTTCCCCCTTCTGAGATGCTGTAATTCTCACGAAATGCTGCGTGCATGTTCTTCACTGAAACAACACGGCAGTGGCACAGATGCGAGCTTGTATGCACAGAGAGGCCTTCAATGTGCGTTGCGAAATGACTTTTGAGGCGCCTCAAAAGCTTGTATGCACAGAGAGGCCTTCAATGGGCGTTGTGAAATGAGGGTGTTTTTGAGACGTCTCAAAAACACTTTTATTTCAAGATGCGAGCTTGTATGCACAGAGAAGCCTTCAATGTGCGTTGCGCATAATCTGTACGACTCAGCGCTCGTGTAGCCCATGTACATTATTTCTGGTCATGTGGTGTTCGTGTCCACAAATTGTCTAAAATAACGCTTTCACTCAAACCTGCGGGTTACTGTAGTGGCTTATGATCCCATGGACGCTTCGGAGATGCCCTGACACTCCTCTTCTGTCCCTGGCTCTGTCCCTCATCTGTCCTGCCTCTACCCCTCCTCTGTCCCTCATCTGCCCCTCCTCTGTCCCTCATCTATCCCTCATCTATCCTGCCTCTGCCCCTCCTTTGCCCCTCCTCTGTCCCGTGTCCTTTCAGCTACATTGCAGGCAACAACTTGACAGGGTCTCTTCCTGCGTCCATATCACTGTTAACAAACCTCTGGGGCATGTGAGTTGGGGCGTGGGAGTTGGGGCATGTGAGTCGGGAGGGCATGTGAGTTGGGGCATGGAAATGGGGGCATGAGAATTGGGGCAATCCAGCATTTCTATCTTGGAGGCGTCTAAAGAATCAACCTCTTCTTGCTTTTCTTGTTGCGTCCTTCTTTCAGTGACATGCGGCGCAACAACCTCTCAGGACCTCTGCCTCCCTCTGCTTTCAACTGGTCCATGTGGGCACTGTAAGGATGTAATCTGGGCGCGAGCCAACTTGCTGTAATAATAGCTTGCTGTTTGAACACTGTTGATCCTTGTAACATCTCCGAGAACCTCTATTTTTCGTGTTACCCAGTTTTTTCACATCCCTTCAACTTCTCATGCAATCTCACGTAACACAGGTTTTTGTCGGAGAACCAGTTTGAAGGGGAGCTTCCAGCCTATCTTGGCGACTTCAGTACAGAAATGTGAGTGTGCAATGCGAACCACTAAGGTGCGAACAAATGCGAACCACTAAGGTGCAGACTGCTTAGGTGCGAACCGCTAAGGTGCAGACTGCTTAGGTGCAAACCGCTAAGGTGCAAACCGGTAAGGTGCAAACCGCTAAGGTGCAAACCGCTAAGGATTCGCGTGCAAGAGTTTTCAAAATCTTGAGCTTTTCCTGGTGACTTAACTCGTGTGCTCCCATGGCAGTGCACCCCCATGGCATGGCAGTGCACCCCCATGGCATGGCAGTGCACCCCCATGGCATGGAAGTGCACCCCCATGGCATGGCAGTGCACCCTGGGTTCTCCACCTGGCAGTTGTCGATCCTGGATTGCAAAATACCCTACGAGGTGGCAATTTAAGCAGCTCAAAGTCACCTCCCCAGGTGGCTATTTAGTCGACTCAAAAGACATTTCGAGCCCAATGTGCTCTCCTCACAGCAACCCTGTAGGTGATATAAGTGTCATTTTGAGATGTCTCAAAATAACAATTTACTCAAAAGCACCTCGACCCAATGTGCTCTCCTCACAGCAACCCTGCACCCTTCCCTCTGTTACCCCCGTGGGAATCGCCCTCTCGCAGAATGGTGGACAGCATGCTCACATGCCCCGCTGACAGCATTAAGTCGACTTCAATATCGTCTCACATTTCCCCCGTCACCCACCCACGGTCTTGCCTCTCGCAGAATGGTGGACAGCACGCTCACATGCCCCACTGACGGCACCAACTGCTCCTCCCAGCTCAAGACGCTGGGCTCTGGACCTTATCCCAACGACTTTTGCGGCCGCATCTGCCCCTCCTTCTGCCTCACATGCATCGCCCCTCCATATGACACAGGGGGGAGTTCAGGGGGTGGTACAGGAGGGGGGTTGGGAGGCGGGCTGGGAGGAGGGGGGCTGGGAGGAGGGGGGTTGGGAGGAGGGGGGTTGGGAGGGATGCTTGGTGGGAGCTCAGTCGGTGGGATTGAAAGTACCAATGGCTTGGTGGGAAGGAGCAGGCTCGGAAGCAGCTTCGGATTGCTGAGGAGCCGAGGCATGGGGAAAGGAAGGAAGCGGCTGCATTAGCATCACCGGCTGAGCTGCATATCCAGTCTGGATTTCCCCCTGGGATCACTCCCAAAGCACCAACCTACTAGCTGACAAGCAGTAAATGCGTGTGACCTACGTATTTAACCTACGTGTGACTTCTCTCCGGTGCCTCCCAAGCCTCACAGAGTGCCGAAGAACATAAACTGCCCTGAGCATCAGTAGTATAGAGAGCAAATAGTGTTGAGAAGGGCTGATGTTTCAACAATATGGCACTCTAATGTTGACCCCTATTTTATTATAATTTTAATCTAATGGTACTTATGCTGCAATGTGGCTACTCTGAGCCTGCTTTTGTATTTCAGAGTTAGAGAAGGGGAAAGTATTAGAATGGTAACACAAATAGGGCCCCATAACGCTTGCGCTAACCATTGTCAAGAATAATATATATTTCTATATATTGTTTTGTAACTGCCTGTAGTGTAGACTACTGTAGTTATATAATGTTCTGTTTGGTGGTGCACCTTTCTTCTTGCCTATTTGTACTCCTCGCTCTATAGTGAAACCTCCTCTTTTTGTTGAAACTTCTCGACTTTCCCAAACTCACTCGAGCTCAATCGCTCCTACCCAACTTACTATGGCTCCTAAGCCTAACGCTCACTGGTCCTTTTTCACATGATATCAGAGTGAGGTTCCTATCCTAGGACCTGATTTTTTTTTCCCATGGGCCCACCGCTTATCGTTCCTGCCATGGCGCTCGTCGCGGCCCCAAAAGTGCCCGTTCGGCCGCTATTCGTGAAGCTTACGAAGTCCAGCGTGGCGGGCTTAGTGCTGTTCGTCGCGGCCCCAGTCGGCGGCCCAGTCGCCTCCCCTTCGCGCCCTCCTGCAACCTCGTCACGCCATGTCGCGGCCCCGAGCGTCTGCATCGACGGTCGCTTTGGGGGGAGACGGCGGGTGTGGCGGCCGAGCTACTTACGTCGCCGAACGCGCCCCCTGCCCCGCCCTCCCGTCTAACATACCGCTGCTACCACTGCAGTTGCCACGCAAGCGACGGTGCAGCAGTGTGGGGGGGAGGTTTTGGGGAGGCGGGTGTGAGCTAGAAGCTGCCGCCCCTCCTCTCTCTCTCACTGCCGCACGTGCCGCTGTGGGGGGGGGAGTGAGGGGGCGACGGAAGTCAGCCGGTCATCTGCTGCTGACGCCCGCTGCTGCCGTGGCACCTCCAGCTGCCGCCCCTGCTACCACCTACCTTTTGTTGTCCTTGTTTCTGCTACCTACTGCTGGGGCCTGCAGGTGCTGCCGTCGAGCCGCTGCTGTCCTGCTGCATGTTGCAGCCACAGAGCCTGCTCCTCAGGCGACCTGCCGCCCCAACACCTGCTACTGTTTTTACCTTGGTAAAGGGGTTGGTACAGTTGGATCTGCCATCACTGCACCGGTTGCCACTACACTTGCCTGTTGCTATGATTTCCGCTGCGGCCTGTCTGGTGTACCCCATTATGGGGGCGTTGACTGCATATTCTTCCCTACAGGCACTTATGGGGGCGTGTCAAGAATAATATATATTTCTATATATTATTTTGTAACTGCCTGTAGTGTAGACTACTGTAGTTATATAATGTTCTGTTTGGTGGTGCACCTTTCTTCTTGCCTATTTGTACTCCTCGCTCTATAGTGAAACCTCCTCTTTTTGTTGAAACTTCTCGACTTTCCCAAACTCACTCGAGCTCAATCGCTCCTACCCAACTTACTATGGCTCCTAAGCCTAACGCTCACTAGTCCTTTTTCACAACCATTACACTGTTTTTTCATGCGTTTGGCAACTAGCTTCATGCTTTTAGTAATTGAACACTCACAACACCGATGATGTGTTTGGTTAGAAGAAACCTTCGTCCAAAATGACCCCGACTCGGGGTTTTACTCCGATTTTTTTTTTCCCTGTATTTGTTGCTTCATCTAAAACCGACAGCTGTGCCTTCCTCATGAACCAGCAAACATACCACCCCAGCAGAGGAGCCACAGCGCGTTTGCTTCTTCCACCTCCTTATCTCTCACCCAACTGTATCACTGCTCCCCTCCCTCAGGTTGCTCTAATGAAATGGTGGCTCTTAGGACTTGGTCTAGGAAGAGTAGCGAGAGCAAGAAGCGAGCAAGAAGGGCTTGACTATCGAGATAGGAGAACAAATACTGAGGCAAGGCAGGGCAAGAGGTACACCACCAACAGATTTTGTAACTAGCTACGTTAACTACTGCTACATGCAATAACAATATAGAGAATATGATTTAACAGCTCTTCCTTATTCATATCGCTCCCTCCCTTCCATTGATCTCAACGCTACCTCGCTCTGCTCTCGTTGTTCCCATGCTTCCTCGCTCCTCGTCCGTCGCTCCATCTGTCGCATTCCTCCTGTCGCTCCTGTCTCTCCCTCCCTCGTCTCTCCCTCCCTTCGCTCCCATCTCTCCCTCGCATCGCTCCCACAGCTCCGTCCCATTGCTCCCGTCTCCCTCTTTTGTTGCTCCCGCCTCTCCATCCTGTGCCTCCCGCCGCTCTCTCCCGTCACTCCAACCGCTCCCTTCCGTTGCTCCCGTCTCTCCCTCTCGTCGCTCCCGCCTCTCCCTCCCGTCCCTCCAGCCGCTCCCTCCCGTCGCGTCGCTCCCACCTCTCCCTCCCATCGCGTCGCTCCCACCTCTCCCTCCCATCGCTCTCACCTCTCCCTCCCATCGCTCCCACCTCTCCCTCTCATCGCTCTTGCCTCTCCCTTGCTTCTCTCTCGACACTCCTATCCTCCCTATCCCCTTGCCCGTCACTCCTTACTAGATCGCTCCGCTGCTCCTATCGCTTCCTCTCTCCTCTCCCGCCACTACCTTTGACGCATTCATCTTGTGCTTTCGTCCCTCTTGTCGTCGTGTGCCTCCCTTGACGTTCTCTCCTATCGGTAGCAATGCTTCCGCCGCTCCCTCTCCCCTCGCTCGTTGCTATCTCGCTTGTTCACCCATTCGTTCCCAGCTCCATCGCTCCCTCTCCCTTCACACTTCACTACCCTTGTTCCGGTCGCTTCCTTACCGCATCTATTCCTCGCTCCCATTACTCTCTTTCACCAGTACTCCACGATGTTCATCTCTATACTCCATATCTGTAACTCAGCTCCATTCCTGTTGTGTGGCTGGTTTGTTTACTACACTTGCTTAAATTCGTGGTCGTTCTTGTCAGAAAGTGGATCAATGATGAGAACATACAAAGAGGGGGTATATCGAGCAAATTTGTACCCTCTGTAGTGCAACCTAACCTAGCCTAAAGAATGCACATGCAAATGTATATGCGTATGTTGACACTCCCCAATACTAGATAAGGGGCGGTCCCTAGAAAATGGGAAACGACTCAGGGCGTCACTACTACTCCAGCCTCTAAGGCAATTGATCACAAACACTTTTAGCAAGAACAACAATGTGTATGAGGTACAACTCAGGGCGGTACTACTAGCCCATCCTCTAAGCTAATGGGTCACAAGGCCAATCAATAAGTATAACCAGACAAAAACAGTTCAACAACAATGTACATAGATCAAGATCGTAACAAATGAGGTCCTTCTACGATAAGGCCAAGATGTGTACAGAGTCGCTAATGATCAAGAGGCGGGAGTGTTAACGGGGGTGTTGGCCCCACCCTTGCTTGGGCAACGCCGACGACTTGGTCGGATGTACGGAAGAAGAAGCCGACTGTTCACAGTGAGGGAGCTTCTCGACGGGCTTCGTCGAGTTGCAGGGAATCACTGTGGTGATGCCGTTGACCAGGGAGCTCGACAGCCTTCTTCAGCAGGGCAGGATGACGAATGAGGAAAGTAGAACGAGAATGAATGACTATGGAATGAAAGAGATACAAATATGCAACCCTAGAAATGTGTACCCCATATGGGCTACCCCACTAAAGCCTAGACAACATTATAATTTGACACACCCCCATAGGCAAAGTGGGGGAGAACAAGGGGTCACAAGACCAGTCAAGCAAAGCAAAGCAAAGCTCAGGGTGGATCACAAAGTCACCACACATTCCGAGCACAAGTTCAAGGCTAGAAGGCCAGTTCACATGCATATATATATATATATATATAAGAGGCTAAGCAAACAAGAGCAGGTGTATATATATGTGACAGTACAAGCAAGGTCAAGAAGTGAGCAAGTGAGGCAAGACAGGCACAAGACCAAGCTGAGTACAGAAGCGCTGATGATCACAAGGCGCAAGTGCCTTGGTGAAAACATCAGCAGTGTTGGCCTCAGAGGCCACGTACGCAAGCCGCAACTGACCACGCTGCTGTAGCTCACGAGCAAGGAAGTAGCAAAGAGCAATGTGCTTTGTTCTGTGCTCCAGTCTCTGCTCTCGACACAAGGCCAGCATGGCCTTGTTGTCTACGTACAGGACTGGAGGAGAACGAGGCGGCTCTCCAAGGTCGGTCAGCAGGTAGGTGAGCCAGCGAAGCTCCTGTGCAGCCATGGCCCCGGCGTAGATCTCGGCCTCACAACTGGAGCTGAGAACAGAAGACGAGCGAGTAGCCCGCCACGAAACAGAGCCGGAACCAAGGCTGAAGGTGTAACCCTGTGACGACCGCTGCGTAGCCTGGTCGTCAGCCCAAGAAGCGTCTGCGTGCCCAGTGAGGACCACTGGACTCTGCCCTTCAAGCACTAGCCCCATGCCCGACGTACTGCACAACTACACAACACCCTCTTCGCTGCAGCCATGTGCTCTGGTCTGTGTCTCCCAGGAGCAACATAGCGTGCAAGAATGCTAAGAGGGTATGCAAGGTCAGGTCGTGTGCAGGTCATCAGGTACATGAGGCAGCCAACAAGCTCTGGGTACGGGCCACTCGACTCTACGGACTCATCCGAAGGCAGAGCTGAGAGCGAGTGGCGAGTAGGCAGAGGAGTGGCCTGAGGCGAGGAGTACGTGAAGCGGAAGCGCTGAAGGACCTGCTGCGCCATGTGTGAGTGAGTCAGGGTAATGGTGCGGCGTGCTCTGTCCCGGGTGATCTGCACGCCAAGGTAGCTGCGCAGTTCACCCAGGTCTGTGCACGTGTGTCTCTTCTGCAGCTCGGACTTCACGTGGGCGAGTCCACCAGTGTCAGCAATGGCAAAGACCAAGTCGTCGACGTACACGAGGATGTAGAACGGCGGCAAAGAGGTGTCGGTGCGTAGAAACAGCGACGGGTCAGCAGTAGAGGGAGCAAACCCAAGAGCCGCAAGCGTAGTCCTCAGTGTGTCGTGCCACTTGTGCGGTGCCTGGCGGAGACCGTAGACTGGCCGTCGGAGGCTCCACTGGGTGCCAGGAGGGAAAGTCCCAGTGAAGCCAGGTGGACGGCGCAGCCAGATCACCTCGTGCAGGCTACCCTGCAGGAAAGCAGTGCTGAAGTCAAGGGAGTGAAGCTCGTAGTCATGCTGAGCGGCTATGTGTAGCAGTACCCGAAGAGTGGTCATCTTCGGGGTGGGAGAGAAGGTCTGAAAGTAGTCAACTCCCTGCCGCTGACTGAAGCCACGAGCCACGTACCGCGCCTTGAAGACAGGCGGAGAGCCCGGCGGCCGCTTCACCCTGAAGATCCACATGCCACTGACGATGTTCGCCCCAGGTGGGGGAACCGCGTCAACGTAGGTGCCTTTGGACTTCCAGGAAGCCATCTCTGCATCCATAGCTGCCTGCCACTGAGAGGAGTAGGGACCCTCTACGGCCTCCGCGTAAGAGCGCGGAGTCGGGATGTCAAGTGCATCCGGGTCTCCCTTAGGGGTAAGCAGTACGGACACGAGATGAGGTGAAGCAGCAGCCAGACACTGGAACTCATCCTGCCTGTCCTCAAGGACGTCCGTGCCAAGAGCACACTCACCCCCGACGGACGGAGGACAGACAGACGTAGACTCAGCAACGAGACTAGCAGCGTAGTCTAGACGACAGCGAGCAGCAAAGTCGACGAGCTCAGCAACAAGAGAAGACGCAGCAGTGGACTCAATAGAGGGGTCAGTGACGACAGTAGCAAGGAGACACGTGACAGTAGGACTGGCAGCACGAAGAGAGTCCGACTCCGGGTCGGCAAGGGCAGGAAGAGAGGACTCAGGAGGAGAAGGCAAAGGGGCACGCAGAGGAGCAGTGGACGGACGCAGAGACATCCGGTGCATGCCAGGGACAGGAGGAGGACGCTGACGCGAACCGCGACCACTAGCGCGAGCAGCACGAACAGGCGACGCAGGAGGAGACGCAGGCTCACGACGCTCAGCAAGACCTCCAGAAGGACCAGTGTAGGGAGAAGGAGCAGGCAGTGGGGAGGCCGGCGGTAACTGTGACCGTGACTGGACAGGCAGTGGACACTCTAAGGGAGGAGGAAGACCAAGAGCCTGCTGAAGGAGCGGAACAAAGTACGGCCGAGGCCGCGCGGCGACTCCAGACACAGCAGGGACAGCACCAGCACCCCCAGTGGCAGCACCAGCGCCAACAGCACCTCCAGCTCCAGTACCTCCAGCAGCACCAGCAGCACCCGCAGCAGGACCGCCGCTAGGACTGACAGTAGTAGCCTCAGCGCCAACACCCTCAGCAGCTCCGACTCCAGTCGCACTCGCAGGCCCAGCAGCTCCAGCACTCCCAGGGCTAGCACCTCCGAGACCGGCGGCACCAGCACCCTCAGCAGCCGAAGAAGCACCAGCTCCAGCAGTACGCCTCCAGCGCCGGGCAAACCACTCGCGCAGCTCCTGTGGAGAGAGTGGCTCCCGCCGAGACGAAGCACCCGGAGAACCACCAGGCCCAATACCGCCAGACGCCACACCAGCAGGTCCAGCGGCCGCGGGCTCCGCACCCCCAGGCTCAGCAGCTCCAGACTCAGTACCCCCAGGCTCAGCAGCTCCAGACGCAGCACCCCCAGGCTCAGCAGCTCTAGACGCAGCACCCCCAGGCGAAGGACCCCAAGGCTCAGCACCCCCAGTCGTGGCACCCCCAGGCTCAGTACCCCCAGGCTCAGCACCCACTCGCGCAGCACCCCTAGAGTCAGCACCCCCAGGCTCAGCACCCGCAGCAGTACCAGAGTCACCAGCAACCTCGACCGGCTCGACTGCGTCTACCTGGGACACACCTGAAGGTGCAGGACCCTGAGGGGGGAGGGGGTCTACCTGGGGGGGACCTGGCACAAGGAAGTGCGGCGGCGGGGGGAGGGAAGGAGTGCGGTAGGGGAAGAGACGGTAGTAGGGGACCGACTCGTCAAACGTGACGTCCTGGGAGGACTGAACACGACGAGAGGAGGGGTGGTAGAACTGCCACCTTGGTGCGTCAGGGGGGAAGCCAAGGAAGACACAAGGAGCAGCACGAGGGGACAGTTTATCCGCAGACAAGTCGCGGACAAACGCCCAAGATCCCCAGACACGGAACCCAGACGCATCGCCTACCTTCCCCGTCCACTGCAGAGCTAGGGAGGTCTCCGGCATGGAGACCCTGGGGTGAAGGTTGATCTGATGCTCCGCGTACCGAACCGCAAACGGCCACAGAAAATGGGGGGCAGCCGCATGCATCATGGACGTACGAGCGACGTCCATGACCATGCCAATGCGGCGCTCAGCAATCCCATTTTGCTGTGGAGAGTCCAGAAGCGTAAAGGTCTGGCGGATGCCTCGCGCACGGCAGAAGGCTCGCAGAAGGCCAGAGGAGAACTCTCCGCCTCGGTCAGAGTGCAGACGCAGAACAGGAAAGTCCGAGCCGAAGCTCCTCCTGAGCTGGAGACAAGCTGCGCGGATCCAGTCGATCAACACCTCAGCGACATCACCCTTGCTGCGCAAGGGGAAGACTGAGGTGTAACGCGAGTAGTCATCAACCACCAACAATAATTACACTCATGACCTTGTCCAAGGACGCGGGCTGGGCCCCACACGTCCATGTGAAGCGTCTGCAGCGGGGCCTCTG